CAGATCTTCCATATAAAAAACAGTACCAAATCGAGTTTCTTACTCACCAGCTATAGTATTTATACATATGCATGTAGAGAGTGCAATGGATTGAACCAATAATACTGGGCCAGGACAAAGCAAGAGGTGAAAATAAGGGAATACTAAAATTTCGAAAAATTAAATACTATAATGCAGTTAAGAAAGTGTATCGTTATTAGTCTCGTCTCTCTTTCTAAAGAAGGAAAATAAAATTCTCATTTTCTTTGTAAGATGTTGATTATTTGTCCTTCCCAAGCAATGAAATGAATCAAATATTAAAATTACAAAAACCATAATATTATGGAACACAATTTTTATTTTAAAAAACTGAGACAAACAAAGAAATAAGATATATATTCCATGCAATATTAGCACAAGCACATTTTGTTCTCTTAAACCAGCATGGCAAATAAAATAACAAGAAGATGGAAAGGCCGCCTGAAAGGCATCAAAAGGATTTGATTCTTCCTTTACTTTTTGATAAAATTTCTGCCTCATATTAATTTGCAAATACAGGGATAAGGAATTCATCCAACGGCGTCCACAAAAATTTGTCAATAGTGGAGCAATGGAGCTTCATTGGATCACAAAAAAAAGAAAGGTCAATAACAAGGATAGTCAAGGTAAAAATTAAAATTTTATAACCTGTGGGGTTAAAAATTTACCTGGTTTTAAGTTCATTCTCTCCCTTCTACATTCTTTGGATTATTTTGATTACTTTGATTAATTGGTTTAGGCATTTAGCTTTAATTGTTGTATGACGTGGGCTTTTGGGTGACATTAAAAAATATAGGGGGCAAACTAATAAAACAGATAGAAAATGGGGGAAATTAATTATGCCCACTAACATTAAAAAATAAAATTTAACAATCTTAAAATTGATTAGAACTACAAATTACCTTCAAATTAATTTTGTCACTTTTTTGTTATTTTTGAATATTTGTTTAACAAAAAAGTGACATTTATGTTTTAACAAAAGTTGTTTGTGCATTCTATTGTGACAACAATTTCAATCATTTTGTCACTTTTACATTCATTATATTGTTCTCGTTTGTTTTCATAACAAATGAAGACTCTATATCTGTGAAAAACATACAAATGAAATAGTATGAGATTTTTTTTTTCGTTTTTCTTTTTTAAAAAGTGATGAAATATGTCTCCATTTATTTTCAACAAACTAACTCATATGCAAATAAAAAAATAATAATAATAAAAATAAAATAAAATAAATACAAATAAAGTGTTACATTATGTCACTATTTTTATGAAAGCAATGTTTGAATTCATGTTCACATTTAAATTTTTACAAATATACATGTATATATCTCTTTAATTGATTCTAAAACATTCAAATGAGATCGAAAAAAGTCGTAGAGAATATCACTTTCAAATTTTAGCATCTTAATTCATATGCAAAATAAAATAAAGTGTTACATCATGTCACTTTTAATGTAAAATAAGGCTTCAATTCATAGTCGTATTTAAATTTTCACGAACACGCATATGTGTATCTATTTAATTGACTATAAAGATTCAAATGAGATAGGCTGAGATTTTTTAGAAAAGAAGTGATAAAGATTGTCATTTTCTCACTTTCATTTTCACAAACACTTTGCATGTATAACTTGAATTGATCCAAAGTTAATTTTTCATATATATTAATTCAATCCAATTCCTTACATCATGTCACTTTTTAAAATAAGGTTTAATTCATATTTATATTTAAATTTTCAAAAACACACATGTATATATCTATTTAATTGCTTCAAAGGAATTCGAACGAAATGGATTGTGACATTTTCAGTTAAAAAGTGATAGAGAATATTACTTTTCACATTCTCATTTTCACAAACATCTTATATGCATCTCTTAAATTGAATCAAATTTAACTTTTCATAAATGTTAACTCAATTCAATCCATACAAAATTTGATCTTCAATATATACTAACTCAAATTATTAATCTAAAGAGAAATTTCATATGTACTAGAATGAAAAAACCTCAACAACATCAAAATTAAACAAAATATGAAATAATTGAGTAAAAAAAATAAAAATCTAAAACATAAAAATCTATAATTTTTGGTTGATTAGCTACAATTTTGGAAAGAAAATTTTGAAGAAAAGGTAGTTAAAGTTACCCTTGATTTTTGCAAGATTTTCTCTTATGATTTCAATTTTACTTGATTTGAACCACGAAAGATTTTGGTATTTTGGAGCTCTCACCCTTCTTCCAAATCAACTGTTTCACCGTGTTTAGAGGTGGGCGCAGGTCGGTTCGGTTCGGTTCTAAAGAGAACAGAACCGAACCAAAATTTTCGGGTATCTAGTAAATGGAATTGTCGGGTCCAAATATAATTATAGAACCGTTCGAGTTCGGGTTCGGTTCCGTACTATAATTAAATTTTTTAATATTTATAACAACATTATATAAATACAACTAATGACACATTCAATGGTTTTGGAATGTCAGAGACTAGTAGACTACCTTATTCAAATGATCACTACGGTCAAAGTTTCGGTCTGCGGAGGTCACAGTTTCGATCTGAGGTTACAGTGTCGGCCGGTGATTGTATAGATTTTGGAATGTCAGCGAGACTGCAAGAGTGAGTGCGATAGTCGAGACAGCGTTATGTATTTTAATGTAGGTGTTGACCCCAAAAAGTGTGCCAACAGATGCCGGTCCCACCCGCTCTTGCGTGGGCGAATGTCCAACACGCTAAGACACGTGGACGATCTAAATGAGCGGTTCAAAGGGGCGTGGGAGTAGCCCAACGACGCGGGATGGTAACGTTCGGGATCCGACGGGTTGTTCGTAATCCGATTGTACAATAATTACCAACCGGTGCTCGTAGATGTATACGCAAAAATGTATAAACTCGATTTGTGTATTGCTAGTAAATGGGAGAGAGTTGAGTAAAATGTAGTTTTTAATATTGATTCTTGCATTAGCCTTTTGACATTATACAACGGGGGTATTTATAGTTATACATATGGAATGGGAGCCCTTGGATGAAGTGGCACGTGGCCTTATCTCCTTGGCTTAAATGTCTGTTCTTAGGCATGGGATTTGACTCGCTAGCTTACGGCGCATTTATTGCTTGTGCAGGGCTTCCATGCTAGTGACAAGACTTGACCTTTATGCTTATGACAGACATTCCATCAATCATTCGAATAAGATCCGTGCAGGCGATCTCTTGGGAGAAGTGACCATGGAGGATGCTTGTGGTTGAGGCTCGCGCATCAACTTCGGGGCTTCGTCCATTTGAGGACCTCAACTACAACCAAAGGCTTCCAAGCCTCGGGCCATGGGCCTCGGTTAGAAGCAGCTCGGATATAACCCACCTCGACAATATGGGCCACCTCGGCAGGAATGCCACGTGGATCAGGATGAGTGGGCCACTGGCCCAGGTGGGTAGGACAGGGGTGACAACACGCAACAATAGTCCCCCAAGTCCAAGTATAATCATTAATGTAATGCGTGGACTTTAGAGTAAAAAAATTTTTGAACCCCCAAATAATAGTCCACCAAGTTCAAGTATAGATATTTATATCATGATTGGAGTTTAGAGAAGTTTTGGTGTAGGTTTATGCTGAAGAACCGAGGTGGTTGGGGGACCGAACCTGCGAGGATTAAATGATGAATGCCACGTGAAGAAGCCGAGGTGGTGTGAAACCGAACCTGCGAGGCTTAAATGCTGAATGGCGTATGAGGAGCCGAGGTGGTGTGAAAACCGAACCTGCGAGGCTTAAATGCTGAATGGCACGTGAAGAAGCCGAGGTGGTGTGAAACCGAACCTGCGAGGCTTAAATGCTGAATGGCATATGAGGAGCTGAGGTGGTGTGAAACCGAACCTGCGAGGCTTAAATGCTGAATGGCATATGAGGAGGCCGAGGTCCAATGTAATGATTATGCTTTGGTCTCTGTGCCAATGATTTGATGTTTTGTGCTTGTTTTCGATGAAAGGTAGCTGAACCGTTACGACTTCCAATGAGCTGGCGCCGACGAATTAAAGATGTAATTATGAGGGCAGCCGGCGTTTCGAGAAGCAGACGCGCTGGAGAGGTGCGTGTGAGGTACGCATAGATAGGAGGCGTAGGATTTCAAAGACTGTTTGAATTCAACGCAAACGGAGGGCTCGGATTGACTGAGATTTGATCTGACGGGTGGGGTTTGCCTTGGATCTTTATAAAAGGCGAGAAAATTCTACTTTCCAAAAATTTTAAGCACTTTGCATTCTCAAACTCTCTCAAATCTCCTTTTTTCCGGCGTTGAGGTTGTCTGCGATTAGATTCCGACCGGTCTCCGTTTGTGTTGAACTCTTTTAGGTATTTTTTGCATAAAAAACCGTTGTTATTCTTTGTCCTCAAACGATGGAGTCCACTTCGGGTAGGGAACTTGTCACTGTAGCGTCTTTAGACCACGGGGTAGGTCATGGGGGGACGTCCAAGGTGGATAGGTATGCCATGGCCGAGGATGACGTGGATTATACCCAGGAGTGGGGGGCTTCTAGAGTGCCCTCAAACATGACGGGGAAGAGGTTGGGGGAGCTTAGGGAGAGGTACAGTGTGCCTCATAACATAGAGATGTTAGTCCCCGAGCCGAACGAGCGGGCATGCTATCCGAGGCCCGGCTGCGTGGCCGTGAGTGAATACCTGTTCAAAGCAGGTATGCGTCTTCCTTTGCACCCCTTCTTTAGGGCGGTGCTTAGGAAATTTATGCTGTCGCCGACCCAGGTTCTGCCGAATGGGTGGAGCCAGCTTGTCGGCTCTTACTTCCTGTGGAAGGAAGTTTCCCTTGGGGAGGACATGCCCCTTCATGTCTTTATGACCCTGTTCCAGCCCCGGGTAATTGGGAAGGAGTTAAGGGGGTGGTACTACCTCACGCCTTGGGGGGCTCACGCACCCTTTGTGGTGGGACTTCCTTCCTCTATCAAGGGGTGGAAGGAGTCCTGGTTCTGGGTGCGAGGTAAATGGCAGGCAGTGGAGGGTGACAAAGCCCTGTCATGCACAGTGCCGACCCAGTACTACGAAGCTCGTGAGTCTCCCCATCTCTGCTTGTGTTTTGAAATCAGAGTATTTACTCGTCTAACTGTTGAAGGTTCGTCTTTGCAGATAGTAGTACGAGGTTCGAGCTCAGCAGGGAGGAATTCGAGGTGATAGAGGACATTTACAAGAGACCTCTGAAGCTTCGGCACTTCGATCACCTGATTGATAGAAGCAGATACTTCTTGGACTTCGGGCTTATGGCGTCCAGAGGTATGAGGCTCCAACACTTGATGTTTAATTTTAATGTTTCTGGTACTGATGCTGATCTGACATGTGTTGCAGACAAATTCAAGAAGAGGGAATACCCGGCTCCGGATATGGCCTCCATCTTGAAGGCCACTTCTACTGCGAAGGCGAGGCCTCTGAAACCCGGGTCTAGTGGGGCAAAGGAGGTCCGAGGCAGGGTTGAGCGCCTGTCCAAGGACTGCACTCCCAGGGCCTCGGAAGAGGCATCTACTCAGAGGCCAGAGAAGCCTAAGGAGCCTCGGGGCAAGGAGAAAGTCTCTGAAGAGACTAAGAAGAGGAAGCTGGTGCACATCTCCAGCTCAGCTGGCAAGTTTGGGACTTCAGTGTCCCATAGGGCAGAACAAACTGGAGAGCCGAAGCTTCTCGCTGCAGCCTCTAAGGCCATCAAAATGGAGATGGTAAGGGAGGTGGAGGCTGAAGAGGCCAGGGAAGAGGCTGTCAGGCGAGCTGCTGAGGCAGCCGAAGAGGAGGCGGCGAAGGAGAAGCCAGTTCGGGAGAAGGAGAAGTCTCCAAACTTCCTAGCTGGGAGGGAGGATGAGCTGGCCCCAGCTCTGGTGGAGGCTCTCCCTGAGGAAATCCGAGGTGCCACCGAGAGCTTTTACAAGTTCTGGACGGAGAGGTGGCAGCTTCATGCCTCGTCTTGTGATGCCACCGACCTCACGAGGGCACTGGTGAGCCAAAGCGCCCGGACCTTTGGCCTCGCGCTAGAATGCAGGGAGGCATTAAGTGAATTCCAAACAAGGACTCACGCCTCGGAGGGGAAAGCTGCTTCCCTCGTTGAGGAGGTCAAAGCTGCTAAGGCCGAGGCCGAAGAAATCAAAGCACAGAGGGCTGAAGAAGCGGCGAAGCTCGAGTCCGCCCTGACCCAAATTGAGGCCCTAAAGAGGGAAGTATATGAGTCTCAGTGCGAGGTGGCCTCTCTGACGAAGAAGGTGGAGGTCTCCAATGAGCACCAAAAGGTGACTGCCGAGGTTCTGGAGCAGGCGAATCTCGCCTTGGCCAGCGCTCGTGATGCCAATCAGTTTCTCGAAGGCCAGTCGAAGTGGTACATGAACGACGCCTCGGTTGCCAGAGAAGAGGCCCGGAATGCAGCGGAAGAGGCGGTGAGGGCATACATCGCCAATTTCCACACTACAGAGGAGTATAAAAGCTTCAGCGCGTACTGGAGGAACTTCGCCTATGCGAAGTGCTGGAGAGGGAAGAGGAGCTTTATCCAAACTTGGACCTGGCACAACTTAGGTCCGAATTTGTGGATGAGGTTCCTCAGACCCCAGCTGAGGAGGTGCAGGGTGACGAGGCAGCTGATGCCGAAGCCCCAGATGCTGAGGCAGGGGAAGCAACCACTAATGCCCAGGTTGCCGAACCCCCAAGTGCTGGGGCGCCGCCTTCATCCAGCCAGGTTTAGATTAGGTTTTCCTTTTCAGTACTTTGTGTAATGGCCAGAGGCCCTCCGTTGTAATCCTTTTTAAATATTAATATAATGTTTTTCTTCATTCGTGATTGTTCTTTATCCAAGTTTTGCCTCGTTTAAACAAACGAACTGGAAGTTGATAAGCGCACGAACTAAATAACTGTATGGGCCTCGGACTTAAGCAGAAAATGCACACAACTTAAGATCTGTTGGAGCCTCGGACTTAAGAAAATGAACATAACTTAAGGAGATCTGTTGGAGCCTCGGACTTAAGAAAATGAACATAACTTAAGGAAACTGTTTGAGCATCGGACTTAAGAAGATGAACATAACTTAAGGAGATCTGTTGGAGCCTCGGACTTAAGAAGATGAACATAACTTAAGGAGATATGTTGGAGCCTCGGACTTAAGAAGATGAACATAACTTAAGGAAACTGTTTGAGCATCGGACTTAAGAAAATGAACATAACTTAAGGAGATCTGTTGGAGCCTCGGACTTAAGAAGATGAACATAACTTAAGGAGATCTGTTGGAGCCTCGGACTTAAGAAGATGAACATAACTTAAGGAGATATGTTGGAGCCTCGGACTTAAGAAGATGAACATAACTTAAGGAGATATGTTGGAGCCTCAGACTTAAGAAGATGAACATAACTTAAGGAGATCTGTTGGAGCCTCGGACTTAAGAAAATGAACATAACTTAAGGAGATCTGTTGGAGCCTCGGACTTAAGAAAATGAACATAACTTAAGGAGATCTGTTGGAGCCTCGGGTTTAAGGTTGTGGCTTCTTCCCCTGGCGTTCAGCAAGGCCGAAAAAGGGGGGCATGTGCTAGAGCCTCGGTGAGCGAGGTGGCCCAGTGGTGGGTCCTGAGCCTCTCCTCCGAGGTTACGACGCATCCCAGACATGGTGGATGGTGCAGCCATGTTGAGGCTTCTCCCCTTGGCGTTCAGCAAGGCCAAAAGGGAGGCATGTGCTAGAGCCTCGGAGTCCAAGCGAGGTGGCCCAGTGGTGGGTCCCGAGCCTCTCCTCCGAGGTTACGACGCATCCCAGACATGGTGGATGGTGCAGCCATGTTGAGGCTTCTCCCCTTGGCGTTCAGCAAGGCCAAAAGGGAGGCATGTGCTAGAGCCTCGGAGTTCAAGCGAGGTGGCCCAGTAGTGGGTCCCGAGCCTCTCCTCCGAGGTTACGACGCATCCCAGACATGGTGGATGGTGCAGCCATGTTGAGGCTTCTCCCCTTGGCGTTCAGCAAGGCCAAAAGGGAGGCATGTGCT